GAAGGAAGGAAGGAAGGAAGGAAGGAAGGAAGGAAGGAAGGAAGGAAAAAAGGAGAGGAGTCAGGCCATGGTGGCATACACCTGTAATCCCAGCACTCAGGAGGCAAAGGTGTTGATCTACTAGTTCGAGGCCACCCTGGCCTATGGAGTGAGTTCCTAGACATTCAGGACTACATAAAGAAACCCTGTCTCAGAAAAATAAATAAATAAACAAACAAACAAATTAATTAATTAATAAGAAGAAAAAAGAGGGAAAAATTTCATAAAATATACAGAATTTTACAAAGGCGCAAACAGTTGAGCCTACAAGGTAATTCAGAAGCCTGTTTGAACTCATCAACTGAATGGCAGAAAGACTTATCTTGAAGAATAGGTTCTTCAATTTAGTAGCTTTGTATACATGTGCATGTATGTGTGTGCATATGTGTATATACATGTGTCCTGTATGTGAGCATTGGCATACACATAGCACTGTAGTGATAATTTTGTTTGTAATCAAACAATAAAACTTGCCTGAAGATCAGAGGGCAGAGCTAAATCACTAGGTAGCCATAGAGACCAGGCGGTGGTGGTGCACACCTTTAATCCCAGCACTTGGAAGGCAGAGGCAGATGGGTCTCTGTGAGTTCAAAGTCACCCTGGGCTACACTAAATTGATCCAGTCTCAGAGAGAAACAAATTCAGGCAGTGGTAGCGGGTGGCTCACACCTTTCATCCCAGTACTTGGGAGTCACATGCCTTTAATTCTAGCACTAGGGAGGTGGAGACAGGAGTGACATGGCTGGGCGAAGAGAAGAGACGAACATAAGGTGGTGGACACAGGAGCTCAGATGCAGTCTGGGGATTCAGTCTGAGGATGCAGTCCGAAGGGTTTTGTAAAGACAGCAATTTGCCTGAGAATTCGTGGAGACAGATTTGCCCCTTTGTTCTGAGTATTGGTAGAGAGGTAAGAGCTCCCTAGTGGTTGACCGCTCTGCCTCTCTGATCCTTCAGCTTCCGCCCCTGATAGCTGACTCTAAGTTGTTATTATTAGGAACAGTTGGAATCTGTGCTGCACATCACAGAGCTCTCAGGGGACGGTCCTTACCTTCCACCTTGTTTTGGGTTGAGATAGAGCCTGTTGTTTTACTGCTTTGCACACCAGGCTAGCTGGCCTGCAAGCTCCTGAGAATCTCGGGTCTCCCTCTCACCTTTCTGGAGGACTGCTAGGATTCAGACACTCAGTTGCTGGCTTCTTATGTGGGTTCTGTGGATTTGAACTCAGGTTCTCTTGCTTTTACAGCAGGCATTTCCCCACTGAGCCGTCTCTGCAGCCTTAGAAAGGATCTTTGAAAAGAGGTGAAAACACTTGGGTTAAACAACTTTTCAGAAACTTATGAGCGCCAGCAGGTACCCTGGCTGACCTAATTTGAGTCTTTTTCCCCCCAGGACTACAAATGAATCCAGGTCCTGGTCTATAATAAGCCACTTGTTCTGGTATTTGCAGGTGCCAGTGTCTAATATTTAGATGTGTAAAAGAGTAGCCGGATCGTAGACTATTCATTCCTTAGAAATTAAGAGAGTCCTTCTTTTACAGTGAATCTTGGATCTCTCAGAGCTAAGACCTGAAGGAGGAGACACCTTGGAATTTGCTCTTGTCATACGTTTTACAGTATCCTGTTGTAGGGAGAGGGCCTACTTGTTCATCCTGGCCACCCAGCTAGCTTAGCCCTGAAATAACCACACAGAAATTGTATTAATCACTGCTTGGCCTATTATCTCTAGCCTCTTATTGGCTCACTCTCATACCTTGATTTAGCCCATTTCTATTAATCTATGTATGGCCACGTGGCAGTGGCTTACCAGCATGTAAGATTCAGCATGTCTGATTCTGGCGGCTCCATGGTGCTTCTCCCCTCCTCCGACTCTCTTTCTCCCAGCATTCAGTTCTGTCTTCCCTGCCTACCTAAGTTCTGCCCTATCAACTAGGACAAGGCAGTTTTTTTAATTCATTAACCAATGAAAGCAACATATAGACAGAAGGACCTCCTTCACCAGTATCCCATCATTGCAGCAGTATTTCCCCCAGGCCAGCAGGCATGGCTGTGGTCTGTATTCCCCCACCCGCCCCCTCCCCGCATCCTCTGCCTACAGTAGAGTTAATTTTAGTTGTTGCTCCTCAGTGCTCAAAGCATGCCAGCCGGTCAGCCTGTGATTTAGTTCTGGGAACTCCTTGATACTCTTAGCCAGTGCTTGCTCCCTGCCTAAGTAATGGATATATCTTAGAGGTAACTGCACGCATGCAACACGGGGAACTTGTCTAGCACCCAGGACTAGTGAAGATGCTCAAAGCTGCAGTTCGCATGCATGCAGTGTGGTATGAGGCCTACCAAGGCCTCATTTTAACTGTATGATGTCAACTGTGATCTGAAAAGATTAAAAAGAAACTTCTAGAAGGAAACAATCCAAAACGCTAAGGTTGGCTTGAACTCCTGATTCTCTTGGGTCAGCCTCCTGAATGCTGAGAGTAAGCACACTGCCACCATGACTGGACACTTGATTTCAGTTGTACACTTTTCTTGTCAGCAGCCCCGTGAGTCAGAGACGCAGCTCCATATTGCCACTCCTATGCAGGGGAAGCCAGAACGCTTGACTTTGTGGCATGAAAGAATTTCAGGATGAGTTGGTATGAATCAGGGTTGGAGTTTATTTTGATTTTATTTTAATTTATTTTGAGACAGGATCTCTCTGTGCTCGACTAGGAGAGCTTCCAACTCACACGGATCCACCTCTGCCTCTCAAGAGCCAGCATCAAGGGCGTGCACTACCACACCTAGACGAGTTGGGGTTTATTAAGAAAAGGTTTTAATGCTGGATGTGACAGGACACATCTTTAATCCCAACACCTGGGGACACGGAGGCAGGCTGATCTCTGTGAGTTTGAGGCAAGCCTAGTCTACACAGTGAATTCTATAGTGAACTACATAGTAAGACTGTTTTTAAAAAAGAGGGGGGGGGTTAACATGGATTTGACTTGAGGAAGATAAAGAGAGACAGAGAAAGAGAGAGAGAAAGGAGATAACAGTACATCTCTGACATGAGTGAGGGCTTTACTTATAGGAAGAATTCAAAGAATTTTTATGGAACTTTGATTTTTCTTTTTCTAAATGAGATGACAGAGGACTGTCTGAGGAGCATTGGTCAGCTCCCCGTAGATGAGATTAAAACAACAACAACCAAAGTTGAGTCAAAGGGTTAAAGAAGGGAGCCCTGACTGTATTGGGTCACAAGGGAATTAAGACATGTTTTCACTGTAAACAAGTTTCACAGTCTTGGTTGTGAGATTCTCCGAAATTTATGGATTTGTACCTGGGCAGGAGTGAGTTATGACTGCATACAGCTTTAGTTCTTTAGTTCTGTCTGATGTGGCTCACTGCTATTTCATCATTCTCCTTTGAAATATCCCTCTGAGGAAAATAATACTGCTGCTGGGCATGCTGGCCCAGCACCTGAAGGTGGGAGCAAGAGGAAGAGGAGCTCAGGGCCATCTTTCAACATACAGTGGCTTTAAGGCCAGCCTGGGCTACCTGAAACTCGATATGAAAAAAAAAAAGAAAAGAAAAGAAAAAATATGACAACGAAGAGAAGATTCTTCACAGGGAATTTTGTTAGTTGTCTCAAAATCTTTAACTCTTAGCTGGCTGGAGATTTCCACCAGACTCTTGGGCTTCATTTCTTTCCCACATCTCTTAATTCTCCCTGTCTTGTGCTCTTGGCTCATCCTGAGTAGAGAGATGCAATCTCTCGCTGCTCTCCTGTTGCCACTGATTAGGCACTGGCAAGGCCTCAAGAACAGACAGAGACTGACACCTCAACCCACTGTTTCCAGTTTCTTTTTTTTTAAGATTTATTCATTTATTTTGTACAC